ATTAGACTGCAGTTCAACTTAGATCTTCCATTTAGGTTTACCAGATATTTATACAGGTGAAAAAAGATGTGACAATTGGAAAGGAGGACAAATGGGGAAAAACAAAGACACATTAACTATTTAACTTTTGGGGGAAACCCTGACAAAAATCAGAGTGAAAAAAATGCAAAATTTATTTTACTTAGGCTTACGTATATATGAAATTACTTTTTCCAGCATCACAAAGATTGGGTTTTCAATGGCAAAAATGTACTAGAGCCAGCTAGAGGCAAAAGATTTCAGCGTGTAACTGATTAGAGTCTTGTCAATTTCTGGCAGCAGCACAAGCTGCTCAGGATAATAATCAACCCTACTCAACTAATCAAGGTCGCAGAACTGAGGTGGTTAACTTGCCATTAGCACTCATTACAGATGCGCTTTGCAGTGGAGAAAAGCTTTTTCAGGAAGAGAGAGAATGTTGCTTGTAGCTATTGAAAAAAAATGGAAAATATATGATTTAAAGCAGGGGTTTCAATCTGGTGGTCCGTAGGCCAGATGCATCATATCTAGGCCACACCCACCCCAGCTCCACAAAGAAAAAAAACATCATGAGACATCACTATATGTGACGATACATCACGTGATATGATCGAGTTTGACACCCATGATTTAAAGGCTATGCCTACTAGACATGAGGTCAAAAAGGAGGACAGTCCCCCTTTTGGCAGATATGTGAAAACCCTACACAGGGGGATTCATATACTTCTCTGGAATGCAACATCTAAAAAGCATTTGATTTTTTTAATGTTAAGAATTGGCAGCCTTCTCCCTGCACAGGATTTGATTGGAAAACCTTTAAAAAAATATGAAAGAACTGTTGTCCAACATGTTTTTATTAGACAGCTTTTTAATGATATAGTTTTGAAGAATCAACATGTATCCTTGTGTATCAAAAAAGGTGACAAATTACTTTCAGTAATATTTTGAAATTTTTAATTTCAACTAATAAAATAGAACAATGAATGCTAACACACATCTAGGTTAATGTAATTAATTTTCAAAATGACAGAACCAGAATTAAAATGAACACTATTTGAATTGATTTCTTCATGTTGTCTTTCTGAAAAGTTACTCTATATTTTGAAAGCTTTTAAAGGGTTTATTGGATTGATTTCCCATAGATTTTTCCTTTATTTACTGGACCATGGTAATTATACCCTTAAGCATAACCTTTGCTGATTATCAATATCCAAACCAAATGTCACAACTAATAAGGTAGAAGCTGACAGTCAACAATGATTACTACTTGATCTTACAGATTGCCTTGTTCAGACTGCCATTATACTTTACATATTGTCTGGTCATGAGGCCTTCAGTCTCACCACACTGCTGCAGTTCTAATTTTTATGCCCTGCAGTATTTGCAGCATCCCTGAGTTGGAAATTTGTTACTGCCTACAAGAATGTGAAGTTCTTCTTCATTGGTCTGCAGATTGATTGGGTTTCTAAAAGAAATGGTGGAATGGAATCTAGGAACATCATCCGTTTCCATCTTGCTATCTTGTAAATTAATCTTATACATCATTGTGGATTTGATCATGGACTAGCTTATCTGTGGAATGTAGAGTTTAGGCAAGGATGAGCAGTCTGTAGTCTTCTGTTAGGACAATTATGCCACTCCTGATTTGCAAACTACACATACACACACACACACTGCTTTTTTTTTAAAAAAAAAAAAAAAAAGGTGCCGGAACTCATACACGTCATACAACCCACCTTGCATACCCTACAAAGTTTACCTTTGCAGTTGAAAAAAAACACCTTCAATTTTTAGTGTATCTAAAAGATTAGGATTTTGTTCAAGGTAAATTAATACTATTAATGTTATCATGCACTGTGTGGCTTTAAATTACAAGAAGGCATTTTATTAATCTTTTGGGACATTTACCACTGGCATACCCATTTAGTTTAATGAGTGGAAATGTCAGCTTTCTATGTGAAATGAAATTGGCCCAATAAAACAAATTTTGGTTGCTTGTAAAAGATTGAATTATTTTTAAGAAGTTGTCAAACAAGGTGGAAAAATGTACATTTGGAGTTTAATATGGATATTGACTTGAAACAAATTAAAGTTGAAACTTTGTCAGTGAACATTTTACATTTAATTTACCTTTAAGTTAAACCCAATTTAATAAATAGATCTGATTAAACCTCATACTGTAGGTCTACCTTTACATCTGACCAATACATAATTAATACGGTATATATTATTAATAATAATACTTCCAAATCGCTAGACATTGGCTTTACTCTTATTCTTCCACTCTGCAGTTTGAATATAAAGTATAAAAGACTAAAAAGAGATTTTCGTAGACATCCTAGCCTTTGAACTACCCAAGGAACCGAAACAGCAAAGTTTCGCTGTCGGACAAACTTCCATGCCTGCTGCCTTTCTTTCCTCTCGCTTCACCTCTTTTTAACCTCATACCCCACCTTCTGTAAGGGAAGGCATATGGCTCGCTTACCCTCTCGTGAAAGATGGCCTCCATGTTTATGTGTCTCCCACTGCCACCATCTGCTTCCACACCACATGGTCCGACCCAGCCAATCAAGCCACGCTCTGGCTGTGGTTTTCTAACACCTCATGGCTCCTCCTAGAGGAGGCAGAGAGCGCCGGAGGGGACCCCACTTGCACCGTACCACCAGCTGGGCATTTTCAAAAGCAAACATGGATAGGAATGGCAACAATAGGAAAAGAACGCAACTCTGGAAAATCCGTCAAAAAAAGGTGCCGGAACTCTGTTCCGGTGCGTTCTATGACAAAATATCAACATACATAAGAGTTAGTTGATAGGAAGCTACATTTCTGTTTTTTTTATCAGGAGCATTTTTATTAATAGTATAATGATTCAACATTATGACTCTGGATCATTATCACATTTCCACATTCTACCCAATATAATACAGAGCAATAACAGCTTAAGTTTAGCAATAATGTCACTGACAGCTTTTGTTACAATTTAGTCATTACCTCAGCACAGACATTATGTATTTATTTATTGCATTTATCTCCAAGGGAATGCATATGAAGGTATGCTTTATTTTTACTCCCACAGCAATAACCCTATGGAATTAGTTGGGTTGAAAATAATTGGCAGCTTGCCAGAGTCTAACCTGATCCAACTTTTTAACTAGTATAGGAAACTGGCTTAAAGCTGCTTCATCTATACTTTCTTCTCTCTGTGCTATTAATTTTAATAAATAAGTTCCTCCATTTTCTTTTTTACTATCTGAAATTCTATTCAACTCAACTAGCTATTTTCAACAGAGCATTGAACTGCCTTTAGGAGTGCCACCATGCTAATGCAAATTTTGGAAACACAGTCTTGATTTGAAACACTACATGCCAGGAGGGGAACTTTGCCCCATCCTACTTCAGTCACTTTGCAAAATCCTTTCATCCTCTAAGTAAAGTTAGCATTCTCTGATTAGCTCTTTTATACTGCAGTATAAATTCTCAGATTCACAGACTATAAGCAATTTAGGTGGGGCACAATTGTTTGGCATATTTGCATCTAACCTTGCCACAAACATATTTAGCCATCACCCTTTTTTTTTTTTTACCATAGCCTCAAAATAACTGTGGGGACGGCCATAAAAAGATGAAGAATTAAACCAATATTTTATTCTCATCACATACTATACATGCATAATCAAGACAATGTCATTCAGTAGAGACTTGGAATAGAGGAAATATAAGGAATTGGCATTAGGGGTAGCAAATTTCATGCCTGTATAGTTTTCTGCCAACACAAGGATGGGTGATAGTACTTTAACTCAGCGGTTGAGAAAAGTTCTGTGTCAATGAAAAAGAATTCCACCAGCTGCAATCATTTGACCTTTGTATAGCTTATTCAAAGTTTCACTAGAGTGGTTCAATTTCATTGAAATAGATCCATGAAGTGAACCAGCATGGTGCTTTTACTTATGGTTCAGAGCAGTTGAACTCTGCTTGAGCAGCTTCTCTGGCTCTTCATTGGTCTTCTGTAAATACACAGCACATACACAGAAGCCATTTGCAAAGTAGCCAGCTGGAATGGATCAGTGCTACTTTGACATTTCACATGAAGCATGGCAACCTCTGTTGCTTCACTTGTAGTTTGAGAACCATCTCAAATTAAACAATAAGATGGGTTATGCCTACTTTGCATGGGCCTATTGCTTCTGCCCATGTAAAGCTTCATGGATATGTGATTACTCCAGGAAGTATTCTTACTAGTCAAAGGCAGCAAAAACCCAGGAATATTTATTTTAGAATTGGATCCCTAATTTGTACCAGCTTGATGATTGGTACAACTTGCATTGAATTTCCCTTTCAATGTAAACAAGACAAGAGGAAAAGGTTTAAAAACTATTACTTTTAGCTCAGCTAATTTTCAATAATATTCTCAATGGATCATAGTTCTATAGCAATTTCCTGTCTTGAATTCCTCCATTAATCCCAAACTGAGGCTCATACTATCTTTTCCCCATAATGGAACATATGATTTAGTGCAAAGTCAAAACTACAAGGATGTAATTAAAATGTAAGTACTTTTTAGTTAAACAAAATTTTGTTTTGCTTTGGCCTCTCTTACTGCTTAAAATATTGTTCTTAATATGCCACTAAAAAACCAAGAGCAACTTGATCTAAAAGAAGTTGACTATGTATGGTTGTGGAGAGCTTTAGATTCAAAGACAAAAATATGGATGGATATGAATATACCACCTGTTGGCAGTTCTTTCAACCCAGGATTATGCTGCAATTAGGAAAGGCAGCTGTGTGATCCTTAGAAAAGATGCAGCTGTTTGAAGGAGCTGCTGACAGGTGCTATGTGAGTCTCCTTGCGTGATCCAAAGGACCTTTTCTCCTTCAAATGTAAAACTCTGAGCAACCCTATTATGCTGTAAGTGCTGAAGCTTTGTATTATGTTTGCTAGTTCTGATTTGGTGCCCTTTTTCTTCCTCCCTGTCTTCTTACAGGTAGATAAAGTGTGTGGACATCCTGAAGAAAAAGAAGTGAAATCTTTGCCAGACAGCATAATTCAAGCAAAGGAAATAGAGAGATCACCTATAACAATGGCCCACTCAATAACTATTAACAATAAAAGGAGGTAATTTGAAAAGAAAAACATTTCCTTATAAAATTTCCTTATAAAAATATTTCCTTATGAATTTCCCCAAACGATGATGAGAGTAATTCTGATTCTCCCATATTTCCATCATGTTCAAAAACTGATTTTCAAACATATGAAAAGCAGGCCAAAAAGGATAGTCATATTTTACTTTTTTAATAACAATAAAGGAAATTAAATAAACTTATTTTAACTCTGGAGAAGGCCTATTTGTAATTAGTATTGTGTTTGACGTATTGTTATAAATCTGTAATATAGGGCAATTCAGTCTATGAGCCATTGATTTTAGTAATTTATAAATGATGGGAATACAACCTTGAATAGGAAATCTGACAAAAAAATCTATATGTGTGTAAAATCAGTTGCAAAATCAGGATATAGAACAGAGAAATAGCAAGGGCTGTAGCTTACACTAGTGGAGTGCCTACAGTTTTCAGACTCCTAACTACATATGCACTGATGGTGAAAGGAACTGAGATAAAATCAATAGTAGAAACATGGCTTAGAGGTTAAAAGCTTAGATTTTTCAGTAATTTGCAGCTAGCAATGTAAATTAACATCAGCTCCAAATTACTGAAAATTCTGAACTTTGTTTAAATAGTAGGTCCTACTTCAACCACTGACTTAGGCTCAGTTATCTTACAATATTTTGTAGACTGGTTTTGCAGTAAAGATTCTGTCACTTGCTAGAATATCTGAACCAGCTGAAATGACTGATTCTTGAGTGAATTGGCTAGTTGTGTAAATCAGCAAATGACTGTTAAATAATTTTACAGGCAGAGAAAAAGTTTATGATTGCCTTTTGCACCATTTGCCAAGATGGTAATATAACTAATTTCAGATAAACAAGTATTTTACTTCTTGTGTTCCTTTCCTCTATCCTGATGGCTAATGTGTCTTCTCAAAAATAGTAATTTCTTATTTTACTGCTGTTTGCCCTTATTTCCATTTCCCATATCTTTCCAGTTTTGTGAAACCTTTTTCTCTGGGACATGGCTGGCTTGTTAGGAAGTTCCCCTGCATGCTGTTCTAATTAACCGTAGCTATGCATGCAATGATATACCTATTCAGCAGATTCTATGAGTGGCTGTTGTTTGGTTGTCCTTCATCAAAGCAGAAATCTATAAGCAATGTAAATACTTTTTTAATATACCTTATAGTTTCAATATTAAGGGCAGTACATTTTGAAATCACAAGTTAAGGCACTACATGCATGGCGCCATATCTTAAATTTGTGTAGAAAAATATTTCACACACTTGGCTCAGGATAATTGACTACCCCAGTTATTTGACTCTGATATCTGAGTTCCTCTGTTAGATATTTCGATATTCAATAGTATAGAGGTGCATTTTATTAAACACCCAAGATTTAATTGTAGAAAGAAACAGTTAATATAATACTGAAATTTTGGTTTCAGTATTTTTGCTTTTATTTATTTATTTATTTATTTATTTATTTATTTATTTATTTATTTATTTATTTATTTAAAAATAGTGAATTATAAAAGTGATATTCTAGAATCTAGACAATATAAGCACCCTTTTATATTTTTTTCCATAAGGAGTCCTGTAAACAAGGCAATTTCAAAAACTGAAATAGTGTCAGACCCCATTAGTACTTGGATAGGATATGACACATCTATCAGAGCTATAAACTAGATTGCAGTTGAAAAATCCCCTGAAAGTATTTGGTGAACAGTTCTGTAACACTGTCAACCTCCTGCTCAAATTGTTGTGTCCATGTAGATATCAGAAGTTGAGTTTACATAAAGGGTTTCTTTATCTTTATCTTCTGGAAACTGAACTGTTCTGGAAGTTACTAGTTCAAATTTGTAAGATTTTCATCATTACGATTGCTCTCTTTATTTTATTTTATTTATAGGGTAGCATATCTTGCCACAGTGACTCTGGATGGCAAACAAAGTTTGAAAGTTTAATACAGCAATATACATTATTGTAAAACACATAAAACAACACATAAAACAAAATGCACTATCACACAGTCTTTCCCAGGATTACTTATAGACTCCGGGGACTGAACTTGAGAATGTCTTCATACGGACCATGTGTTCCACCACTGACATAAAATTCTGTGATACTTCATGCTTGTTTAAAACAAGCAAGCAGACTTGTATTTTCTTGTTTATTTATGTAGCTGCACCTATTTCATAATACCCAGGAGGCAACTCAGTTTTATATTCCCTTATAAAGCAGTTAATTTTTTGTGCCCTTGAAAATCATTGCTTTCCCATCAACAGTACTTGTTTTCATCCAGAATTCACGTTTTATGTTGTTCTCAGATATAACAATAATATTTTTAACATGACATTTGGATATGTCAGAAATAAAAAGATTTATTTTCATTATTGTATACTTTACTTTATAGTCATAGCCATTTCTTTTTGTTTTTTTTAAGAAATAAATGTATTTCCATATAATTTAGAAAACAATCCAAATCCTCAACAGAGGGGGCACAGTGTAAAAAGAATTAAATTGGTGGATGAATTATACTATTTTTAAAATACAGGTCGAAGAATATTTTAATAGGAGTCATTCTTTTCTGATTTAATCCTGTGCATGTTTATCTTTTCTTTCAAATAATTTATTACGTTTTGTTTCTCATTTCTTTCTTCATTTACCTGAATTCCCTCTTTTCCCCTTGGCTATTCTCCTTGGCCTACTCCAGTTCTCTGCCTCTGAAATCTTCAAAGAATGACAAATCCAGAAGTTTGAAAAAAATGTCTCGGTAAGAATGCAAAGAAGTTAACCTACCTTTGTCTCTTCATTTTAATGAAGGTTCTTCATACATTCTAAGAAGAGAAAGGTTAATTTAATGTTACCATAATGTACTTTTAATATTCATTTACCAGGTGTGGGCAGAGTATGGTTCTCCAAAAGTTATTAAACTATAACTCCTAAAATCTAAATTTAAAATTACTGTCAAATACAAATCCAACAGGTAGATACACACTTCAGAATTTGATTTGTGCTTTAGAAATTATTTGCCACTAACTTTCCTCTTAATTTTTAAAATATCGATGTATTAACAGGGTGGCATAGATATTAATAGGAAACAGATTTATTTTGAGGTACTGTACATCAAGATGGACATCTGCTTACTCTATCAAAATATATTGTCCATCAATTCCATCTTTTTAAAAAAATGAAAAATGAAAATGAAATGCTAGGAAGTTTGAATAGTTGATGACATTTCATGTGAACACTATCTTTACTCTAAGAATTTTTAGCAACAAATCTGGCTTTTGCAACCCATTGGATTTTCTTTACTTTGTTCTCTATCGTGCTTAGATATGTACATCAAAAGGGAGGCAGAAATAATATATTATTCAATTTCAACATTCCTTTACCTCATGAATTTGATCAATTTACAGCTTAAATATGATTAAATTGGTCTAGTTCAAGTGATGAATTAGAATTTAATGAAGTATGAAACCATCTCTTCATCCACTTTTTAAATAACCTTAAGGGATCTTTGTATCTCAGTTATTGCATTATTCAGATAAGGAAGAAATAAATATATAGTTAATGATTTATTTAAAATGTTCTGTATTTAATTTCTAGGGAATTTATCAGTTATATGAAACGATCCAGAACTTTTTATGCCTCTTTGACAGAAAGGCTTTGTGATGGTGATCTCGTGATGAAAGACAGCTCAACTTGCTGGAATGGCCAAGATGTGGTAGAAAGGTAATTGTGAAAGATTTCCAGAAGAGACTAATTGGTCCGTTTCCACTGATCTTTCTAGTGTAATATTCAAAAAGGTATTTTAATTGGATGAATTTATGAACTGGGAATACCACATGATGGTGCTTTTCAAGTTACAAAAAAGAGATATCTTATACGTATGTTGCAGAAGTGTGTCCATTTCTGAAATTTGAAAGATCTTGCTTCTGCATACCATAAATGGTTTCCAACTACAATATATTTGGATAGAAATGATTAGTGAAGCTCTGAGTCTATCACCAAGACAAGCCAACTTGGCTTAGAATAATTGTGACTTAATTTTTATCAATTTTCATATAAAGAGACAGTATTTTAGCCCTAATTATCCATGAATATATAACGTTAGATTTTGTGCATTCCTTTCTAGTTCCTCTGGATCACAAAAAGGATTTTTTACCTGTTAAAGGGAAGATAAAGCATATTAGCTGGAGCTTCAGAATAAGTTCACTGAAAATAAATAATGTTATTTTAACTGGTTGATAAGGGGAAAAATGAAATAATTTGTTTTGCAATTTTGGTGAGAGTTTTATTGTATCTGGATTAAAGACTGAAATAGGATACAAAGGTTAAGAGATGCATAGAATTGATAAGGAGTGGCAGCCTATATTAGTCATTTTCTTCATATTAAACGTTGTGATCTTTCATTTGATAAGGAGATGTTCCACTGCAGTAATTTTTGAGTACCCTTGAATATTCACAATTGATGTTATACCTTTTTAAAATGAAAAATGATATTATGATCATATGATTTATTTAAATGTTTTAAGGTGCCCAGTAGTCAAAATTCTCTTGACAGTTTACAATAAAACACAAAAAAGAGGACTTTAAAGGGGGAATACAGTACTTTGAATTGGATCCAGAAATTGGACTAGAACCAGTGTATGTGGCAAATATGTTTATATGGGCCAGGATCAATGAACAATCTAGTTAGTTCTAATTTGAACTAACTGAAATTGTGTAATGGTATGTGGGAATGATCTTGGTAGACAGGAAAAAAAGAGATGATTAGACAAAGGGTCAGCCAAGCGGCACATGAGTTCACAGAAGCAATGGTTGTGTGACAAATGTCTCATTTTCTTGCACTGGAAAGGCAATATGTGTTTTCATATTTTTCAAGATTCTGTTCATGTAATCTTACAATAAAGTTCCAGCTAGGACTTCTAGATATGCTTCTTGTCTGGAAGGCTTGTCTTGAAAGACTGATTAGTTTCAAGAATGATTTCCAAAGGACTCCCATATGCAATAGCAATAGCACTTAGACTTATATACCGCTCATAGTGCTTTACAGAACTCTTTAAGCAGTGTACAGAGTCAGCATATGGCCCCCAACAATCTTAGTCCTCATTTTACCAACCTCAGGAAGATGGAAGGCTGAGTCAGTCAGGGTCAAATTTCTGGCAATCAGCCGAATTAACCTGCAGTACTGCATTCTAACCACTACACCACTATGGCTCTACAACAAACACAATCTCTTGACTGGTTGATAGTTTTTAATTCATCAACATTAAAAAAATAAAATATATTGCAATAAATAGGCAATGATTCTATCTTGGCACAAATCAAATGGACGATATGAATGTTTGACTTCTCCATTTTAAGTAAAGATAATCTCTGTCCATGATGGCACCAGAGCACAAAAAACGTATCTGTAACAATCCTTATATCTGAGTCTTTCTGTATGCTGTTTTGCTGTGTGTTTGCTTCCTAGATGAATTTTTGAACCTGCTTGCTTTGAACCTGATTTACTTACGTAGACTTAACTTACCAGAATAATGTAACTTAATGAGACCAAGGATTGTTTTAAATAAAGGGTCTTTGTTACTTGATATTGAGGTGGCATGTATTTCACTAAGGCAATCTGATTATAGGCTTAGCAGTTCAGTAGCTATCCAAAAGGTTATATTGAAACTCAAACTGATGTATCTTAGAATTCCATCTTAAAGAGCAAACAATAGTTATACAGGTGTTGCAATATGATCAAACAAGCAGAGACATTTGACATGTTTTAAGCATACATTTTTGAATTATTGGATATTCAGGCTATATGAATTTTTGAAGTTTACTTATGTGAAGCTGCAAATGAAACACCTTTTCAGAATGCTTCTGGGAAACACTACACTGACTCATTGCTAATAGATGAAGTACCAATGATGGCCGCTATGCTTCACTCAGCAAGTGCCACATGTGTGATACATATATAGGAATTACTTTCATCAAAGCACAGAAGGGATTGTAATACTGAAGGCCTATTTGTTTACTCTTCTGTTACTGAGAATTGCAAATAGTCTGCATTTAGATCCCATTAATTTCTTATGGTAAAGTAGCAAATAATGCCATGGAATCCCATGCTATCCATGCCCAAAAATCGCAGTAGTAATAAATTTGTTATGCAAAATGATAATAACAGGAGGTTCTAGTTTCAAAAAATGTCAGATGTTATATTTAATGATTGCATCCTGATTTTTACTGAATTTAGTTTCTAATGGAACTAAATTTTACCACTGCCAAAGCAAAGTTAAGGCTACCGTCGAATACCCTATTAACCCAACTGAGTTATTGAAACTTGCTTCTGAATAATCACAAACAGTATATCAGTCTGGATTTTATTTTTTTTAATAAACCCCTAATTTAAAAAAAATGCAAAAAGGCATTGCATGAACTGGTTATGAATATGTTGAATATAAGATTGCTGTACATGATAAAAAAAGTATGGAGAGATAAAGTGCATGGCATTAGTATGTTTTTTTCTTTCTTCTGTTCAATTATATCTGATTCTCTGTCTGGACAAGCTCCTGCAGATTGCTTCAAAAATATAGAACCATGGGAAATTAAATAGAATCTACCTGCAGAACTCTGATTTGGCAGATTAAAAGTGAAACAAATATTTCCAAGTAACAAGATGGAATTGCTACTCATCCAAAAACTTTTAATTCATGATTGGCTTCTATGTTGGCTCTGGAAGTCATACTGTGTCAAAATGTGGGTCTCCTGGTTTCCTGGCTCCTGCTGAAGTAGATGTCATTATCTATACTTTACTCACAGAATTATCTGGGTGGCACTCAGCTGTATGAGAAGAGAAGATCCAATTTCAATATGGCTGATTAACCACATTTTGAAAGAATAGAAATACTATATATTATTATTATTTAACCCTTTTAGGCCACTCAGAATCTAATATAACTTAAAAATGCTATAGCCTTAGGACCTGCTATGAATTCCAAGAGTGAAGTATGATACAAGACTTAAAACCCCTAGGTGCCTATATTAGCTGTGCATCCAATTCTGTGTAATTTAGTAGTAGATTGCAAAATGATATTCCCATTTATCATTAAGCAACAGTTCAAGCATAAGATTTCTAGAGCTTGGGTGGTTTTATGATGTTATTAACTTTTCCTTTTCTAAATAGAAGCAGAATTAACACTTACGCAAGATGCATTTATGCCTCAGAGAACTTCAGTGGAAACAGCTACAAACTCTTAGATTTAATTTTCTTCAGTTTCAAGCAAGTATGTGCTACAGCATTCCCACTCCTCTCTCCATTGCCTTTAAACCAAGCATTCTCTTAATTTCCAAGTGGGCTGAATTAGCTAGTTTCATATGGTGGCCACACATTGAGATTTGGCAAAACACCCAAAACTTCCTTATCACCCACAGAGGCAGCTGATTATAAACAGATTTTCCAAATGTACAAAGAGATGTCTATCTAATAAAGACCATTTCTCCATCATCTCCATTTTGGCTGTAACAAATTGTTTCCTGGATCTGTATACCTACATTTTATTCTCAATAACAAGTTTAGTTTAAATTTGTGGGTTTTTTTCAATGTTTCTTATCAGTCTAGTGTTCAGCTATTTAAAACATCTGATATTAGAACAGTGTTTTTCAACCTTGGCACCTTTAATATGTGTGGAACTCATCTCCCAGAATTCCCCAGCTGAGGTTGAGAAACACTGCATTAATGTATTTGGAAGAAGCATAGAATTGCTCTAGCAAAGAACAGAATAATTATTTTGAAAAGCTTGACATATTTTAGAAGTGCTAATCTGCACAAAGAGTATATGCAGTTTTTTTAAAAGTATTTATCCAATTTTTGGCTAGATATCTAAAACCACAATAAACACGCCTTATTTGGAAATATCAAATTATGCCAGTATTAATTAAAACATTTTGCTAAACTTGAGCAACATAATTTTTTATCTCCATTAAGGAATTTATCAAAGACTATTGGCAATGATCAGGCAAAGTCTGGGAACTATTGATCTTAGAAAAATTAACTGTTGGGGTTCAAATTGTCAAAAAAAAAAATCCCTTCAGAAGTGTATTTAATGCTAAATTGCTAACAGTTTTTATTATTATACTATTAGTCACAACATAATAACTGACTTTTTAAAAAATGAATTATTAAAGTAGGGCAAATTTATCACTCTTCACATCCATAAAGCTAATAATCTAATTATTCATTTATAAGTACTTGTAAAAATGTTATGTGGTTTATAAAAGATGGTTTATAAAATATGCAGAAGGTTAAATCTTTACCTGTAATTTATTCATTACTACAGCTGTTTAATTCTGGTGTTAGATTTTTCTATTATTTGAATAATGTCACAAGAATTGAAATGCAGAATGTGATTACCCCACCTCCCTCAAAAAAATAGGAGGTCATGAATTTATCCTAGAATAGGAGTAAGCATCCTATAATCTGAGGGGCCATTTTCATGGTTTTTAGCAATCTTGACTGCTAAAATCTGGTAGCATAGATTCCCACCATTTTGAGTTCATAAATAGATAAAATGCTACTAAAATATTAAAGACTAGGCATATCTGAACAAAACAAAAAGAATCTACCAAAGTTCCTTGCAAGCCAAGTCAAGTCACACATGTGTTTGTGTATTCCACTTATTTTGTTGCTCTTATTCCTCTGTCCTTTTTGCCCTAGAATTTCTAATAATAATTTATTCTGCTAA